GACACTATATCTCCTAAAACGATTTCTGAAATCAACAGATTAATTGGTAAGAAGCTTATACAAGAACGTCCTAAATGCCCGTATGTTTACAGAAAAAATAAGTGACCTATGAACTAGTCCACCTCACCTCACACACCATCATCTATTTCCCTCAATCTTCGAGTTAAAAATACGAAACAGAATCTCGCAAAGGATTATGGTCGGGATTTCACAAATCGTCACTAACGTTTCCCGCTCATTCACTGGAGAAACTAACGAAGGAAATGTATTTGAGCAAACGTTATTATTAGGAAATGGAAAAAATGAATTACATTTATTAATTAAAGCTCAACACCTCTTTAAAAAAGGTTAATCCTAATCTGATCGTATTTCTTGCGGCGTTTGTTAGAGTGACAGATTATACAGGGATTTAGAATGATCTTATAGATCTGAAAGGAAATCATATATCGTGTTGCTTATAGAAAAAAAACTAACAAATTTTGAACTTTCTTTTTAAAGAGATTAGTATTTCTATTTTCATTTTATTTCCTATTTCTTTTTTTTTTTGGTTTTTCATTCTTTCTTGTTTTTTGTTGTTTTTTTTTTTGTTTTTTTTTTTTGTGTGTGTGTCATTACATGTGACACCGCTACAAAATGAATGATGTAATTATCATTTTATGGGTTTAATGGCTTCTTATATAACTCAATTTTATGAATGTTCCTGCTATTATATAGTCAATACGAACAGTGTCGTTCGATACTGCTGATAGCTCATCACAATGAGCCAAACGTAACGATAATAACGATGACAACATCATGGAGAATCCAAAAGTAATACGCTGTAGCTGGCTGCTCGGCGCTTCCATTAGATGATTACTCGGGCCGTGTTCCCGAGAATGTGATAACAAAGAATTAACAAAGATAAAAACAACAACAACGTTGAATATTTCATAATATTTGAAATTATTGAGTGGTTTTACGACAAACCCGTACTTCCGTGAAACAAAGTGATTTAACCAATAAAAGTGCACTTTAGCACTGTGGGTGACAATTTTTTTATTCCACAGATTTTTGATAACATCTCTACTGATGTTTACATTCATTATCATAATGATCATGAAGAGCGGGCTCTCTACGCCACCAGTATCAAGATTGATTTTCAAAATGGCGGCTTTATTTGCTTGATAAATGCCTGTTGAGTAATAGTCTTCAACCAAAGTTAATTGCTTTAAAAACAGCACGTCGTCATTTATTAATCTTTACTTTTCAATTAGCTCTCTTAGTGTTAAATGGTTTTTTTTTTGGCGACTTGGCAATTTGATTTACTGTCGTACACAACGAAAATGAAACCACTTTTCTTATTGACGACCTTGCAGGCTAATCAATATTACAATCGATTAGAGAATACCGACCAATTCGTATATCATGGCCATACAGCTTGCACTCAAATTGGCTTCGATAACCAGTATATACTTCTGTCATTTAAACATTCAGGCGCCATGTTTATTAACGTTAATAATTCAAACGTGTGCCGTTGTTCGCTTGGGTCCGGTTTTGTGGAGGATCTCTTTGATAGATAGAAGCATTGATTGCCTCCACGAAGAAAAACAACTGAATTAATTTAATTTTTTTTTCTTTTTAAACTAAATGAAAGCAAAAATGCATTGAACGAAGAATGATGATTAAAGGATCGCGCATAATAAGTCAACAAACTCACATTGACAAATTGTCTTGACTATGCCGAAAGAATAGTACATTATCAACTCTCATTTACGGAATAACGTAGACTGTGTGGGTTAATTTTTTCCATTTATTTACAAGGAATAATTATATATTGAACCTCAAAAATACAATATATATYGCCCAATATAATGATAGATTGTCGTGTTTTTTGTGCTTTTTCCTAGCAACGCTTTATCTTAATTTCCCTCCAGCTTTCTTTCAATTAAARAAAACTCAATTATTTACTCTGTTTTGACGAGTGGAAGACAGTTGTTAGTATATAACTAAATCATAATAGAAAAGTGTGAGAAATGCTAGTATATCTCAATCTCCAATCTTGGTTTACAATTAGTATCTTCTTTCTAGGAATATGTTTGAACAAACTCATCTTTTATTAAAAAAAAATAAAATAAATAATGTAAACCGAAAACGAAAACCCCAAACCCCTTCGAGAGAGCCTGATACTCAGGCTAGTTTTTTCTTTGCAAAAACTACTTGCCTCAACTATTTATACGTTTGAACAATAAGTCAAGACGACAAAGTTTTTTTTTTCATTAAAGGATTCATATTTACCACGCAAAAAAGCATAGGTTGATTAATAGCTGTCATGCTATAAAATTCGAATTAGAAAGGCCGTGATAAATTTAAAACGACGACCGCCATTTTGTTTTCTTCCCGGCTGGCTCAATGGTTTTATAAATATCAGTCTAAAAGCCGCTTAAAACTTAAACTTTTGTACTCTGAAAGATGTATTCAAGTCGTAAGTCAATAAGTGTATATTCTGTATAGCATTTTCAGGTTAAGAATCACTTTACGTCTATTAAAAACAATTAGCGTCCGCCATTCTCTTTTCGGTAATTCGTCTCGTCCTTTTGTCTTTTTGAGTTAGTGGATTACGTATTCAAAGCGCTGTTTATTTTCATCGATTATTAAAAAGGAAGTCTTGATTATCTAGCTGCTTTCAAAGCTATATTAAAGCAAAGCACAATTTTAAAATAAACTGTATTGCTWTTATAAAGGCTCATAAAGTTTGTCAAAAAATAACAAAAACTTATATAATTCTTAATATTCATTTATCACTCTTATGACAATTATTTAATCTATATTATTTTTATGTTGCTTTTCTAAAATGCATGTGTTATCATCGATTGTCATTACAGCGGCGAATCGAACGACCCAAGGAGAGTAACTAACCGTTGTGAACAAAATTGAATGGCTAGATTTATGGCTGCGGAAAATGAGATTTCGTGCATACGAACATTGCTCTAATTAGATATTTTCATATTCCCATTTCATATAAATTCTTCTCTCTTCTTGGGGAGGGGGGGGGAGCTAGGCGCCCCAACACACCTCCTCTGGATCCGCACTTGCATCACTTCTGATCGTTTCTTGTTATAACTTGACCATTTCATATGTTGAATAGTGTCAACGCAACGATATCAGCTACCGAAACAGTTCGATTTCTTCCAACGCGTCATCAAGTAATACACCTTTACAGACTGAACGACCACGTAGCGCCCCAGGTAACAACCAATCAACGCAAAACACAACACAAGCATCAAATGATCCGARCACATTGAATGGACACCCCGGTCAACTGCCGGAAGTGCGACGAATGGCTGTATGTGAAGCGAACGACGATGCCGAAAAAGCAAGGCGAAGAATGCGCGTTTACAAAAAACGATTTTAAAGACRACGTATCTGTATACAAGAAATATTTCAAAGCCAGTTTGCTAGCATTGGTTGGCATAGAGACAAAACAACGAATGGCTGTTTGTGGATGTACATGGATGAAAGTCAATTGATACGGAATTATATCAAGCTTGTGATATTGTAACAGAWCCGTAAAAATAGGAATATTTTGTTTAAATGACATTTTTTCCGTCAGTTATTTTAATAACTGTTAAAAGACTTCGTTCCTTTGCCATAAAATATTCTTAGGCTTGGTAACTACAATACCTCACCTCATTGGATTCCTGATTCCGAATCCTCTGGGCTAATGTGATCGGAATCCGGCATCCAGAATAATTTTGGACCAAATCGATAAGAAATCCATTGATAGTAAAAACAGGAATCCGGAGCAACTGGGATCCTGAATCCAGCCTAGTTTCGTATTATCTTTCATGGGGCGAAATAGATGATTTTTACATGCATCTATCGCGAGTCGTTTAGAGCGCTTTCATTATATCCGTAAAACATGTAAGAACTTTGTAAGARATTGCATAAAATTGCACTACTTAAACGACAGAAGACAAAAGATTTCACATTAATTTACAATTTAGCTTGCAAACCATTTTATGGATATAAATATGAGCGCACAGTGGACTTTATTTTGATTGTTTTCCTTCGTTTCGAAAGTGAAGAATTACACATTTGGGTTCAGTCTGTAACGACTTTAGTAAACGCACTAAATCTGTGAAACGAAAATGTACAAAATGGAGTGAAGTCAAAACCCGTGAAACTGTCAGACTATTAAAATGTGATAGTCAAATAGACACAAAAGAAAACTATGAAATCAGAGCGTACTAAGGTGTATTAGTGTACTATCTTTTTCAAGGGTTTTATTGACTTCACTCTATAGGATAAAAAAATCACATCGCCGCTTGGAGATGTACGGATTTCCCATGCTTGAAATCTTTTCAACACTCATAGCCAACTCCAAATCTCCAAGTGAGCTACTATRTAATGTCCTATGATAGACGCCACGATAGGTGCACGCAGTTATTTTTGCATCCAGCAAAGTCCAATGAAATTCACTCCGGTGGTAGAAGACGWTATAGATAACATATACTTATCACTGACGGCTGAGATGTTGAATAAGGCCTATTATTAGATAAAAATCTTCTTTACCATAAATGTCCATGGGGTTTTGCATGTGGCATTAGCCATTGGAAAAGATGACATTAACGCAGGCGTTATAGTCAAAGAGAACGTCCATGATAATTATTAACAATTATTAATTAATAATAAAAGATTGTCACTATTATTTTGAGTCTWTTCGTGTGAGTAGGAGTGCTGAAAAAGGGAATTAGAAAAACCTTGATACAAATTCGCGAACCTCATTGATACAGCGAAAACAAACAACAAAAAGCAAAAAGCGACAACTAGTCTCCTTCGCAGCCTCCCTCACTTTTGTCGGGCTTCCTGTCTTTTGGGAGGGACAGGAAGCCCGATAAAAGGGTAGTCTGCGAAGGAGACAACATTACAAGCAACAACACTTCATTTGAAATATGCTTCAAGTGCCCGAATACTTTGCTTAACATCTAAAAAGTTACGTAGAAAAGAAATAACATTACGTGTAAAAAGTTGAAAATGACTTTTATTACACAAGCGTTAGAAATACCATATAATCGTGCCAGTAGAAATGCAAAATTCTTACATCAAATTCAAGGAATCATTTAAGATATATCTGTACAAATTTTCTAATAAATATATCTGGCTTTCAAGTTTCTATAGAAACTTCCCACCGCAATTTAACTAACCATCCAGAATTAAGCATACAAAAAAAAAGGCGGGAAAAAAATGTTGACGCGCGCGCGCGCATTTTATGGACGAGTGCGCTAGGTTTTTTATACATTGGGTCATACATCCTAGGAGGGAAAACGCGTTAAAATTATCATAAAATACACAATACTTCTGTCAAAAAACTGCTCTGAAATATAAATGCAACTAAAGAATGAGCGATTTTGACAGACTGTCGAGTGCGAAGYGACTGTCAGGGCACAAAGAAGTTTGGTGAAAATGGCCAGAAAAACTTAAATCCTGCAACATCATTTGATCCTGAACAATAATATTTTCGCTTTTKAGAGTTTGCGTTTTTTACATATTCTTTCTCTAATCATTATCAATCATAATTTCACTTTTATCCTTTCATAACCTCCTCTACTCCTTCCATATAAAAGCCTGCATCCTTATGCATTTTTTTCTGACTACGGCAGTATTCAACAACCAAAATATCAAAAATATTAAATCATTAAGCGAGATGGACAGAATAAACTACTATTTATGAAATGCTAGTGAAAAACTTATTACCTATTTACATCAAAGTGCTTCTAGTTCTGAAACTGAGACTTTGTAAAATGATCTAATCCCTTTCTCTTGGACATTTACGTTGCGGTTCCTTACGTACGGACAAATTAAGTTATTTACCAGTTCAATGCGTACCTTAATAACGCAAAGTGAGCTACGTAATCGCCAGAGTAAGTCATATAAGCTACAAAAGGGCGTAATTAGATCGTGTTATAAAGTCTACGTGAGATATATTAATGGTGATTTGGCTACTTTGAAGAACTAACGAGTGTCTCCGATGCAAGCACCAACTTGTCACGTGACTGCACAAATCACGAAAATTAAAAAAGTCGATTTTTGCGAGTCTGAGGAGGTGATCAATGTTACATGGTATCGCTGGAAATATGGTCACGTGAAAAACCAATGCAAGCCAACTATCTATTCCTACCATAACTACAATAGAAAGAGCAGGCAATAGTCAATAAAGCTATTGTCTTTCTACCCTATCGCAGTGATCCTTCTATGTAGCTTTGACATGGGTAAAATTGTGAAGAATTTACTTAACGTTTCCCCCCTCCTCTCATTTCGTAGGCTCCTGAGTAAGGGGGTGGGGGTTCGTTCCTATATGACGGTCCGGGGTACCCTTCGGAGGCCTGTTGTCTTGCCCGTCTATTACGTTCTTGTTGAATACGCTGTTGTTGYTGTTCTCGCCGACGCAGTGTAAGTGTTCGGGCTGGTGGCTTGTTRGGGTTGCTACTGGGCGTATGAACACTGCATATCTTGATAAATCCTATAACAAACCATTCAGTATTCTTATCATTAGTATTACAATCGTTTGCGATTTATATGAGCGTTGAAAGATACTTCACATAATATTCAGTCAATGATTKACAGCAGCATCGACAACAAAAAGGTCATCGTCAACAAAGGCAAAAACGACAACAGCATCATCAACAGCAACAACAACAGAAACAGCTACAACATCATCAACAGCAACAATAACAACAACAATAATAACAACAGCAACAACATCAAYAACAACAACGGCAATAAAAAAACAAAAGTTTAACTGATCAAAACTYACCGGCCATAAGCAGGATAAGACCAACACCAATGAGAACACAAGCCCACCAATACTTCTTGATCCATGCTATGTATCCAAGAATTGCCTCCTTGCTGAAAAACTGCTTACGCAGTCTGTTGAGAGGTCCGTCTGCATCAACTTGACGACACTTGAGTAGCACATCACAGTACCCGTTGAAGTTATTACATGCAGCCGAAGGGAGCTGCTTTAAGCTCTGTACAACAAAGAAGCATGCTAGTCAKGTAATCWTATCTTCCACTAGCCATTGATAAACATAACTACTACAATCGCTATCACAAACACARTCATTTGAGTTTCGTGACAARCCATGGGGAAACACCATTGGATTAAGTGAACATTATAAYACGGTGCTTAATACAATGTTATAAAATAACTTTCATATTACGCRCGCTSTGATTGGCYAAAAAGCCGTGTTTGATGAGAGCATAATACACGCTCGCGTCATTTTTTATCTCGGCTTTTTTTTCTCATGAATATTTGAGCGCTTGTTATTTTATAAAAGCAATAAAAAACAGTTTTCCGTGTATTATACTCTGATAAAAACACTTGGGATGTTTAAAAAAATCTGTATTTTATTCCTTAATTTACATACGTTAATGCCGTCGATTTCTGAAGTAGGTTTACAGACTTTCTTGTTGTTCTCAGTGAACTCACAACAAAGGTCGCACATCTTGCCTTCCTGAGAACACTGGCACTCCTCATAACCAGATTTGAGTTTACAGACAGAAGCAGAACAACTCTATAATCAGAAACATTAACCATCAAGTAATATCCAGAGGTCTTGGGAATACCAAAAATACTTACCCCATTTTCACAAAGTTTACGACCTTCAAAGCATGGAGTTAAATCAAGTTTAGGGGGAGCTATTGGACAGGAGGCATTCAAACCACTGAAGTAAAGTAGTTAAGGCATAGACAGAAAAATTGGACACACGTATTCAATCAGGCTTGATGAAGAATGGTTTTTCTCATTAAAAACAGAAATTTCAAACAATTGTAGTATAATACAGACAATATTTACTTGGTCAACAATGCTCAAATATTCAAAAGGTCTAACAGGTACAATAGCTATTGCATAATGTACAATAAAAACAATAAAAAGTCCATGTTATATATATAATGACATGTAATAAGGATACTTGCAGTAGGAAATATTCCTACAGTCTGTCTCATTTTGACAACGTACAGTATTATTGCCCACATGTGGTTTACAAGTGTCAGAGTCGCAGCATAGTCCCTGACTTGGACTGAAAAAATAAAGATAGCAATATGACAGTCACTAACATGCAAACTTTCACTTCAGTTACACTCAGTTATATATCATTTTATCAAGAATTGGATTGATACTCCTACAAGAACAAGACAGTATTTAGGCACTCAAGGTATTATTCAACTGACTTTAATGTACATAACCTCCACCACTATTTTCAGATTGCCTGCCCACTTCCTTTCCAGATGAAATTAAACCAAATAAAATAAAGTTTTAACTTAAAAAAAAAAAACTTAAAAAAAAAGTTTAAAAACTTTACCTGCATACTGCTTTAATTTGTTCATTTAAAGTACACCCCTCTTTTTTGCCTTCTTTTTTACCATTACAACACTTGTCTTCAATACAAGATGGATCATCTACAAATCCACAGTCACACTCCTCTCCCTCTTCCACCACTTTGTTGCCACATATAGCAGCTTGAGATTCTGTAAATGTAAAATATGGTCAATATAATTGAACATTTTAATACCTAAAACACTTCAGAAGGCTGTGAGGACAAGGAAGATTGTGTCAGGCTCTCTCTACTGTGTCACTCCTCCCTAAACCCTTTTTGAGAGAGCTTGATGCTAAGGCTATACAATATTGTAGTTTTCAAATCACAGGAAAGTTAGATCTCACAAAAGACAACTCAGAGTCAGATCATAATGACTCCATATAATAYGAGGATAATCAAAATATTTTGTAGTAAAAAAAACGTTTTTACAACTCAGGGGTAATTTTAGTGAATGACTAATTTCAATTCAAACAGTTTGTACAGTATGAACATGGAAGATCAAAAACCCAAATTGTTTCCCAAAATGTCACATTCGCAACATGGAATTGGTCAAATACATTAACCTTAATATAATTATACTATATACTATATTATATGTTTTGTTACAGTAACCTACATAGCAAGCTTTCAATAGAGAAAGGTCAGCAGAAGAATGTAAGAGAAAAGAAGGTG